ATCCTGGGTCCCTCAGCACCTAGAGGCCACCCACTGTCCCGGCTGGTGGCCCTCTCCACATCATGGCAGTTTGCTTCTTCAAGGTCAACAGGAGAGCATTTCTGCTATGTCCATCTCTGCCCCCCGCAAAGACCCGGATCCTCTTTTAAAGGGCTCACCCGATTGGCTCAGACCAGGATCACTCCCTGGGAAGTGGTGATACAATAAGAGATGTGCACTTGGTCTTCATCCCTGGCTCCTGGCACAGAGCTCATAAAACCCTTGCAATCTGAGTGAAAGGGGTAGAAGGAACCTCTTTTGTTATTCATAAGCCCCTCTCAACCAGCCCTGAGTTTATGCTAATAAGGTGACTCTTGGTAGGCCCCTAGGGAGCTTCAGGATGGGACTGGCCACCAGAAAGACCAAGTGATCAGTGGGTGGGAACTTTCAGCCCTACCCACTGGCTTCTGGGAAGGGGACGCCAGGCTGCAGATGAAGCTCTATAAACTTTGAACAAGATCGGATGAGCTCCTGGCTTGGTGAGCGCATTGAGGCGCTGGGCGTGTTAGTCAGCAGCCTCCCTGCTGCATGCCTTGCCCTCTGCATCTCTTCCAGCTGGCTGTTCCTGAGTTGTACCCTTTATAACAAACTGGCAAATGTAAGCAGTGTTTCCCTGAGTCCTGTGAGCTGTTCTAACGAATTATCAAAAGTGAGGAGGAGTCGTGGGAGCCCCTGATTTATAGCCAGTCAGTCCAAAGCACCGGAAGCCTGGGCTTGCTATCCGTGCCTGAACCGGGGCCAGTCTTGTGGGACTGAGCCCTTAACCTGTGTGGTCTGGCGCTAACTCTGGGTACCAGTGTCAGAATCGAACTGAGTCACTGGACACCCAATTGGCATTTGAAGAGCTGGAAAACTGGTTGTTGGTGTGCGGAGAAAACCCATACATTTAGTGTCAGAAGTGCTGTAAGAGTAGACACAGATCATAGGATTCCTTCTTGATTAACTCAGTCCTCCATTTGGGGACCTCATTACATCTGCAAAATCCCTTTCCCTTTTCCCTTAACCTAATCCTGGGAGTGAAATCCCAGCGCGTTGCATAGGTCCCCCCTCACTCAGGGGAGGGGATTGTACAGACCACGTATAGGGGGTAGGCGGTGGGGGTGGGCAGTGGTGGGGAGGAGGCAGTAATCTTGAGGGCCCTGAATTCTGCCTCCTTTGACCAATAGGATGCAGCGGAAGTGATGTCATGTAACTTCCAAGGCTAGACCTTAAGGGCCTCACAATGCTTTTTACCTTCTTATACGGCTCCTGCAGCCCTGTAAGGAAGCCTTAGCTAGAACACTGAATGATGAGAGGCCTGCAGAGAGCAAGACCCAGCCGACACCCAGTACTAAGGCCCCGGACATGAGCGTCAACTCTGGCCCTGTCTCTGACTGCAGCCACCTGAGTGACCGGATGCAAGACCACGTAAAAGGACTGCCCAGCTGAGCCCAGCCAACCCACAGGATCACGAGACATAGATTCTTGCGTTTTAAATCACCAAACACTGGGGTTTCATAGCACAGGCTGGTTTCATGGCACAGGCTAACGGAAATGCTCTCTCTCTGAGCAGCAACTCACACAGTCCAGGAGATTAAATCTTTCCCTGTGGTGTTGGGCCAGATCTCAGAAGGACAGCCTGTGGAAGAGGTGGAAGGGACTCTCTTACGGAACAGAGATCATCTGTTAGAGGTGGACAGGCTCAAGGTGGAAGGGACTCTCTCTCATTGAAGCTCTTGCTCCCTCTGACCCCTCTGCCCGGGATGCCTCTGCCAGTCTTCACCAGCAGGCAAATTCCTCCTCATCTTTCAAGTCCCAAATCAGACATCCTGCCTCTGAGAAGCCCTGCCAGCCTCCCCTCCTCCAGGCAGTGGGCTGCTCCCTTATCTAGTGTGACGGTTAATTTTATGCGTCAGCTTGACTGGACTACGGATGCGCAGGTAGCTGGTCAACATTGCTCCTCCTGGTGAGGGTGTTTCTGGAAGAGGTTGGCATTTGATTCAGTAGAAAGAATAAAGAGATCCACCCTCCCCAGTGTAGACAGGCATCATGGTATCCATTGAGGGCCTGAACAGAAGAAAAAGGTGGAGGAATGGCAAATTCTCTCTGTTCTTGATCTGGAATGTCCATCTTCTCCAGCCCTCAGACATCGGAGCTCCTGTTCGAGGGCCTTCAGACCTGGGGACCTACACCAGCACCCCCTGGTTCTAGGGCCTCATGCCATCGGCTCTCCCGCTCTCCAGTTTGCAGATGGTAGATTTTTCAGCCTCCATAACCACACAAACCAATTCCTATAATAAATCTCCTCTTATATATCTCTATATGCATCCTGTTGGTTTTGTCTCTCTGGAGAACTCTGACTAATGTGTCTAGATCCCAAAGGCATCCTGTACATACCTTCTCTTTTCTTTTTTTTTTTAGATTTTATTTTTTTTCCTTTTTCCCCCCAAAGCCCCCCGGTACATAGTTGTATGTTCTTCGTTGTGGGTCCTTCTAGTTGTGGCATGTGGGACACTGCCTCAGTGTGGCTTGATGAGCAGTGCCGTGTCCGCGCCCAGGATTCGAACCAATGAAACACTGGGCCGCCTGCAGTGGAGTGCACGAACTTAACCACTCGGCCATGGGGCCAGCCCCATACCTTTTCTTGTAGGCTGAATAATGCCCCCTGCCAAAGTCCATGTTCTGATCCCCAAAACCTGGGACTATGGTAACTTACATACCCTATATAACGTTTCCCTGTGGTTAGAGGGGCTTTGCAGACATGATTAAGGTAAGGACGTCAAGATGGGGAGATCATCCTCAATTCTATGGGTGGGCCCAACGTAATCACAAGGGTTCTTATTAGAAGGAGGCAGGAGGTTAGTCAGGAGGAGGCAACAGTAAAGATTGGAGAGATGCAGCCATAAGCCAAGTGATGCCAGCAGCTTCTAGAAGCTGGAAGAGGCAAGGAACCGTTTCTCTCCTAAGAGCCTCCAGAAGGCGCCAGCCCTGAGGATGTCTTGTCTTTTGCCCAGTGACACTGATTTGGGACTTCTCGCCTCCAGAACTGTAAAATAATAAATTTGTGTTTTTTTAAGCCACTGCATTTGTGGGAATTGTTACAGGAGCCATAGGGAAATTAATACATCTTTATTCTGGCACTAGTCACGTTGTACGGCAGGTGCCTTTCTCACCTGACTGAGGGTTCCTCAAGCCTGGGGCACCTTTGCTTCTAATGGTTTAACACAAAGTCTTACAAAGGGCTCACAAAAGCTGCTGAATGAGCTAACAAATGCCAGTCTCCCTCAGCCTGAAAACACACACACACACACGCACACACACATGCACACTCATATCCACACAGCTCACCTGCCCATCCACTCCCACCACCCCCATGAGGGCAGCTCTATCCTTCCACAAAGTCAGTTTTGGGCTGGCCAGCAAATAGCTACTCCTCAAGAGCATGTTGATTTTAAGGGAGGAGGGAGATTGCTCCCAAAGTAATAATTGGACAAATCTGCAGGGACAAGCAGCAGAAATTTTGATGTGGTTGATTTGAAACCACAAGAATTGATGTCACAGCACAGAAATATAAAAATCCTCTTTTCTAATAAACAAGCAATGAGACGAGAGACAACCCTGACCCCTACCACATCCCCAGCCCTCGCCCTCCATCTCAGCCCCACCACAGCCACTGGGATGTGGGTGAAATCTGTATGTTATGACACCAAAAGAGGTCCAGTTTATATCCAGCGAGAAAAGCAGATTCCAGACAGTGTGAATCATACAATCCCATTTTGTTACAGAGAATTTAACTATATATGTATATATATATACTATATATGTGCAATGTATAAGTATGCATATATACTATGTGTCTTGTAGTATATACAGGCGGGGAAGAACATTCGTGAAGATGTAAAAAAAGCTTTAGGGACATTGTGGACAGTCGTTTTTCCTTGCTTTTTTTTTTTTTCTATTTTATAAAGAACAAGACTGTTGGTGCAATAAAAAATAAAGTTTAAATAACTCAAAACAAAAGCAGTGAAGCGTTTTGTGCGGCAGGACATTCCGGGACAGCCCTGGTCTCCCAAACCCTCCCCAAGAAGGAAGCTGGGGTCTAGTCTCCCGTGAGCAATGGCGGAACCGTTAGAGGAACCGCAGGCGGCAGCAGAATGACGCGGCCAGGGGGCCTGAGAATCAGAAAACATATAGACGTGACGGCGAGGGCGCTTTCTACTGAATGACCCAAGGATGACCCGCTCGGGCCCAATGTGGGGTGCGGAGAGCCGGTTCTCACCCCGCGGCCTCTCTCCCTCCCCCACTGCCACATCGTCCTCGCTGCGGTCTTGACCGGTCTTCTGGGCGAAGGCAGGTGCCGCCCAAGGCCTCTGCTGAAGAACAGATGCACAGGATCACCCCGGCCTTCCTCAGCCTCATTCATCGCACCCCTCCCCCTTTCCTGCGGTGGCATTTTTATTTTAATTCATCTGAAGTGGTTACAAAACCACACTCCCACGAATACATAAATAATGGATGGGGGGCAATGTTTTAAAGAAATTCCCGCAGGGCCTGGCAAGGCAACAGCAAATGCATTTCTGCTGTATCATATTTAACTGTTTGCAAACTTCTGCTGGGTGGATGCGCTGCGGCTGCAGAGACTCCATCGCCTTTCTCCGCCTAGGGCCTGGCGAGACTTGCATGGAGAGGTTAAAAGGAAGGAGTCCTCAGCTATCGGGGGCAGGAAAGATGGAAAAGGGAGTGAGAAAGTGTTGGTGAGACTGCAACGAGCCCGACCCGGCTTCGCACTAGCCAGGCATCCACCGGGCTCCGGGCCACTGCTCCGGCAGCCAAGCGAGGTCCCTTTAAGAGCCAGCGCGCGCCCCCGCCCCGCGTGCGCTCACTTTCCCTAGCAACCGCCCCCGGGGAGGAGGAGGTCCTGGCAACGGCGCGCAGGCCCCGAGGATCACGTGACGGTCCGCAGCTGGAACGCGAGCGCGCGCCTCACCGCGCGCCCGCCCGCCGGGGCCTGTGCGCTGCGGCGCGTGCGCGAGCGGTGCAGCACCGGCCGCGGGAGCAGGGAGTATTATGGGCTGTGGGTGCCGCTGAGCAAGATGGAGCTGTCTGCAGTGGGCGAGCGGGTCTTCGCGGCCGAATCCATCATCAAACGGCGGATCCGAAAGGTGAGCCTCCCCGCAGGGCGGGACGCCTCTCCCCGCAGCCGGTGCCCGGCTCCGCGGGCCATCGGGGCGCAGCGGTCCCGCTAACCCCGGCTCTCTCGGCCACCCCCGCGCCGCCGCCTCCTCGGCGTCCCCGCATCCTCCCCGCCCCCACTCCCCCCTTTTTTTCTTTTCTGTTTTTCAGGGTCGCATCGAGTACCTGGTGAAATGGAAGGGGTGGGCCATCAAGTGAGTGTTGCGGGGTTCTGGGGAGAGGGGAGGGGAGGCAGCGGACCCCGGGGCCTTTTTTTTTAATCTGCTTTGGGGGGTGCGCACATTGGCTCCCTCGCATGTGCCTCTGCCGCCCTGGTTTTCGTTTTTATTTTGTGCATGTGTGACTCGGCAGGTACAGCACTTGGGAGCCCGAGGAGAACATCCTGGACTCGCGGCTCATTGCAGCCTTCGAGCAGAAGTGAGTTTGGGAAGCTGGCAGGGGCAGCGGGGCCGAGGCTTGGCTGGGGCGCCGCGCGGGGAAGCGGGAGCGGCGGGGAGGGCAGCGCGGAGTGGGGCCCGGGAAGGGGCTTGTTGTAACCTTTGGCATTTCTCTGCCGCAGGGAGAGGGAGCGTGAGCTGTATGGGCCCAAGAAGAGGGGACCCAAACCCAAAACTTTCCTCCTGAAGGTAACCTGGCCCAGCCCCAGCAGCCCCCTCTCGGGCCCCTAGGCTCGGCGCAGCACGGGGCCTGCAAGGGAGGGACAGATCGGCGGCCGCCCAGACGGGCGGGCCTTTCCAGAGGGGCCCCAGCTGGGCAGGGGGGTGGTTCTGAGCCCCCAGCGAGCCCCTGGCAGCAGGCCCCTGCCAGCTCCAGCTTCAGCAAGAGGGGCCTGGGAGTGACGGGTGGGGGAGATGTCTTCGCTGACAAAACCAGTATCTGGGAAGACCGGCTCCAGGGAGGGGGGTGGATGAGGCAGATGGGGGACTGCCCACCGGAGGGGGTGGCCAGGAACTCCTTCTGCACGTGAGAGCCCTCTCCTCGTCCCTCCTCGAGCTGGTGGGAGGCTGGTGGGGCTCTGTCTGGAGTGAGAATCCAGGGAGAGAGTGACTGTGGGCTCCCTCGTGACAGCGAGCAGGGAGAGGATTCAGGGGCCACCTGCCTCCCTGCCCCCAGCTCCTCTCTCTCTTCGGATTTGCTCTGCATGCCTCCCCTCTTCCCTGGGGGATCCAACTTGAATTTGACCTGAAATCACTTCGCTTTGAGTTTATCCCCCAGGCCGGGCCACTGGCTTCGGGGCTCCCGAGCCTGTTTCCTCCCGCCCCTGGCTGTGTCTGGAGGTTCTGCTGAGGATGGGGAGTGGGAGGGTGAGAGCATAGCACATTAGCCTCAGGAGGGGAGGGAGACCCAGCTCCAGAGGAAGCCATCTTAGAGTGTTTTGGGTTTTATTTTATTTTTTTAGCGAGAAAAAAACAGAGTCTGGGAAAGGGACCGTGAGATGACCAGAGGTGGCAGGCAAGGCTGCTGTTGGCCTCTCCGGGCAGCCAGTCCTCCCCATTTGTGCTAAGATTGTCTGAGGGCCCCTTCCCCCCCCCGACCTGTGACTCTGTGGCACTCGGCACTGGAAAGGCAGGGAGGACTCTGCAGAGAAGAGACTGTGCAGAATGCAGAACCTCGGAATCTTCGATTTGTCAGAAAGGCTCAAAGCCCAATGAGGGTGGGTGCCTTTCAGCCCCTTGCTCCCAAAAGGACTGTGCATGTGTAAGGGTTTGCTTTGGATTTAAAGCAGAAGTGAAAGAAATGTTGGTTTCCAGAATTACATATTTCTGTGAACCCTGTTCCCAAGCTACGTCTTAGGGGAACCGTGGAGCACCCTTAACCCTTGATGCTTCCTGGGAGCGATGGGGCGGAGCAGCCGGAGGGCGGGTTTGCTGTGTGACAGCCTCTCAACGCAGCTGGAGCACCCTCTAGCGGCCAAGCGAGTAATGACCATGAGTATTGATTTACAAAATGCCTTTTTTTTTAAATACTAGCTCTAGTTCCTGAGCTGGGTATGATGGCCTATCCCAGTGCGGAGCCCCCACGTGGATTATCTGCTTTAATCCTCTCGACAATCCTGTGGTGTGGGAAGTATTATCCCATTTCACAGATGAGAAATCCAAGGCTCAGAGAGGGGAAGTGACTTAGCTGAGGTCGCACAGCCCAGCTTCCCGGCTTCATCCTGCATTGGCTGTGGCTGCCATTTTTAATTAATATCCCATCAGAGAATTCTCAACCTGGGGACGGGAGAGGAGGAGGAAGGGTAAACCAGTCCCTTTAAAAAAAAAAGAAAGAAAAATTAGAAATTATAGAGTAAATAGATGTCTCTCATAGGAAGTTTGGAAACTGTACATTAGAAAAAGATTATTGCTTATAACCCCCCCACCCTTGGATAGATAAATCTGGTATTTCTTGAGTACTTGCTGAGTGGCAGGCACTGTGCTAAGCAGGTGACATACACTATCCGATGGTCCCAAGAGGCCCACTGAGCCGGGGTTTCAACCCTGGTTTGATGTTTGCCTACACTCTTTGCCACTGCCCAGAGACCATCCGTCACCACTGGACTCTGGTGGACCCATAATTACAGAGGTCTGGGAGCTCGGGCAGTATGCAGAGGGAGTCAGTGCCGACCCCCTGGGGGGATCAGAAAGAGTGGGATCCCCTAGGCTCCCTTGGGGATGGACCTGCAAAAGGCTCTGCTTGCCATGCCCAGGAAAGGCTGGCTTTCCCCTGCCTTTGTCTGGGAAGGGGTGTGAGGGAACCAGTGCCCGGCTTGGCTAGCTGGGAGCCAGGAGCTGGCGGCCCTCGCCTGGGGCAGGCTGAGCTGTGTGCACTGCCACTTAGTGGCCGAAGGGGTTGTTGACCACACAGCCCCAGGAGGCCCCCAGCATGGCGGGGAGGGCCCTATGGCATGGAAGGGTGCTTCTTCTTTGCTCTAAATGAAGATGTCCTCGCGTGGTCATCAAATAAGTTAGCAAATCCCTCTTGTGGGGGGTTGAGTCATGCACAATCTAGTCTTAGGGGCGTACAGGCTACCTCCCAGATATTGGTTAAACGTCCAGCACTGTGGGGGTGGGAGGTGGAGAGACCCCAAACCACAGATCCCATTCTCGGGGACCTCACCAGCTGACGGTGGGAATATGTCCCTCTCAGCCGCCTCTATCCCACCTGGATTACGGCAGTCGCCACCTGAGGAGTCTCCCTGGCCCACCCGGAGCCAGGTGTCTGTGTAGAACACAGATCCGTCATCCCCTGCGCCCTCTGTCCAGTGTTGGCTACTCTGCATGTTGTCACCACTGGGCTGTCTCTGCCTCCACTGTTGGTCTCAGCTCTGCCCCTTCAGCAGGCCACCTTGGCTCTGCGGCCACCTGGGCACTGTGGGCTCAGAAATGAACAGGCCTCTCTCCTCCTCAGGCTTCATCCTCCGAAACTGGGGCCTGTGCCCCTAATCTGTGCTCCTGTGGGCCTTGTACTTCCTTTATTGCATCGAGTCACCCTGTGTCCTAACCCCCTGGACTTGTCTTTCCCGGAAGCACAGGCCCCTGGGGTCAAGGCTTTGTGTTTGTAGTTGTGGCTCCAAGAAGCTAGCATGTGACTCATTAGTCCTTCCTTAGTGAAGGAAGGACTGGCCACAGAGGATGGCTTATGCGGCCTTATAAGTCCCTTACCCTGAACCTGGGGTCTCTGAGGGCCGTGCCATACGCTGCATCTTCCATGAGGTGACAGGTGGCTGCTGTAGAGCCCTGGGAGTGCAGCTGGGCCCGGAGCCTGGGACAGTATCCCTGGCTGCCCACAGACCTCTGCTCAGCTGTCCTGCTCCCAGGCCATCTTGGCACAGAGAGTGTGAAGTAGTCGGTTGCACCTCTTGGTCATCCTCGCCAAACCCATGTCTAACTGGGGTGGAGTCCAACCCAGGTTTAGGAGCTGGCTTTGGAATCTCTTGGCACCTGTTTGCTAAGACCCAGGCCCTGAGCCAGACCCTGGGCAGACAGATGAGTCAGACCCAGGAGGAAATGCAGAGGGCTGGGAGCATAGAGGGCTGAAGGCCTGTCCCAGGGGCGATGGTCAGCTGGGAGCAAGTCCAAGCTGGAGGGGCAGCCTGTGAAAAGGCAGGGGGAGCACTGGGCCTCTGGGACCCCGCAAGTAGGTAGTGGGGCTAGGGTGTGAGGTTGATCAGGGAGGGGCCTCCTTGTTCTTTCTGTCACCAAGAACCGGTCCATGGAGGAGTGTCAGGCTGGGCTGGGACCTCAGAGCAGGGTTGGTCAGGGGCTTCTGAGCAAAGGGCGCATCTCTCTGTGCAATGTCCTGATGGTTGACACTCCTCTGTGTCAGCAAGGGCAGCTACTGACCCGTCTGTCCCCTGGGCGCACAGCCAAGCCTGCAAAGCTAGTAGGTCTTGGAGTCAGGCCTGAACTGGGGTCCAGTGTGCCCTCCCACCTTACACACTTGGCTTCAGCTGTCTGAATCTCTGTTTCCTTTATCTCTGAGATGGGGTCATGAGCACCGCTGCTTCTCAAGCCCTCTCAGGATGGTTTAGTGAGATCATACCTGTGGGTGGCTGGCTGGCCGGCGCAGGGGTGTCCAGAGGAAGTCAGCGGGAAGCCGAGTCCCCACCCACCCCTCCCTCTGCCCGCAGGCACGTGCCCAGGCCGAGGCCCTCCGCATCAGTGATGTGCATTTCTCTGTCAAGCCGAGTGCCAGCGCCTCTTCGCCCAAGCTGCACTCTAGCGCGGCCGTACACCGGCTCAAGAAAGACATCCGCCGCTGCCACCGCATGTCCCGCCGCCCCCTGCCCCGCCCCGACCCGCAGGGGGGCAGCCCCGGCCTGCGCCCACCCATCTCGCCTTTCTCGGAGACGGTGCGCATCATCAACCGTAAGGTGAAGCCCCGGGAGCCCAAGCGGAACCGCATCATCTTGAACCTGAAAGTGATCGACAAGGGCGCGGGGGGAGGGGCCACCGGGCAGGGGGCCGCGGCTCTCGCGCGCCCGAAGGTCCCCTCGCGGAACCGCGTCATCGGCAAGAGCAAGAAGTTCAGCGAGAGCATCCTGCGTAGCCAGATCCGCCACATGAAGTTTGGCACCTTCACGCTGTACAATAAGCCCCTGCCCGGCCCTCTGCCTCCCCCGCCGGCCGGCAAGACCGACATTGCCGCCTCCCCCAGCCCGGGGCTGCTCCTGGCGCCCCCTACGGCCACCTACGATGCTCGCAGCTCCAGCTCCTCCGGCTGCCCCTCGCCAGCACCGCAGTCCTCTGACCCCGATGACACGCCCCCCAAGCTGCTCCCCGAGACCATGAGCCCGTCTGCCCCCAATTGGCCTGAGCCCGAGGTGCTCGACCTGTCCATCCCTCCGGAGGCGGCAGCCACCAGCAAGCGGGTGCCTCCCGATGTTACTGCGGCCGCTGGCCCGGCACTTCCCGTGGCCCCCGAGCCTGTCAGCGCCTCCTCCGAGCCTGAGGCTGGGGACTGGCGCCCCGAGATGTCACCCTGCTCCAACGTGGTTGTCACCGATGTCACCAGCAACCTCCTGACGGTCACCATCAAGGAATTCTGCAACCCTGAGGATTTCGAGAAGGTGGCTGCTGGGGTAGCAGGCGCCGCAGTGGGGGGTGGCGGCAGTGGGGTGAGCAAGTGAGGGGGCTCCACCAAGGAGGGGGGCTTTGGGGGGGCCCTCCTGCCCAAAGGCGTACTCTTGCTCCCGCTCCCGCCCTGCCTTCGGACACCTCTGCCTGTGCTTTGCTTGTTTCAAATGGCTCAGTGTTGACCCCGGGATGGGGCTGGGCAGTTGGAGCCCCCTGAAGCCCAGTGGGAGGGGCAGTCCTAGAACAGGGAGGAGGGAGTGAGGGGCACTGGGTGGTCTTCCCTCTTGTCTCTTGGCACCCTCCCTGCCTGTGCACGGTGGGACCTGCCGAGTGCCTCCTGGGGGTTCAGCTGCCCCCTCCACATCCCACCCTGTCTCTCCCAAGCTTGCTTCCAGCTCTCGCACACAGCATCTGATTCCTCGGTGCTAACCCGGCAGCTGCAGGGCCCTAGGAGACCCATGCCCATGCGTGGGCACCATCCCTTTCCTTCTTCCAGATGCCCGGGCAGGGATGGCAAAGCCGGGACAGAGGTTGAGGTGAGGCTGGCCTCGGCCCCTCCCTCCACATTGAAGGAGCAGGCTGGAGGCAGGGGTCTTCCCGCCCACTTTTGGACGAGACCCAAGCAGGCCCCCTAGGCCCCGCCCCACCCCATCTCTCTCCTAATCCCCGTCTCAAAGATGGGAAGAGCTGGCGAGGACCTCACCCTGCCACAGCCTCCCAGCATCTAAAGGCCCCTTCAGTTCTCGACCAAAGGTGCTACAGGAACCTGCTGTGGAAACTTCCGACTGTGCGTGTGCGTCTGCTGCCCCTTGGCGTGTTTGTATGTGTATCTGTATGTGCATTGGGCACTGGGCCCAAGCTTTCCAGGCGGCACCCTTTAGGGTTTCTCAGAATAGGGTCTTCAAAGGCCTGGACCTTCCCTGCCATCCCCTGGTCCTGGGAGCTGGCCCAGGTCTGAGGAGTTTGCTGTGGAGGCACCAGGCCCATCCTCCCGCCCGGGTGTGCTGGGCGCACACCCCCCATGCCCTGCTCCTTCCGGGTGGTCAGCCCCGCCAGTCAGGCCTCGCTGCAGGCATGGCCAGGTGGGGACTGAGGTAGAGAGGGGAGACCCCACCCTGAGCTTCCTCTCCTCCCTGGTGTTTGAGGGGGAAGAGGAAGACTGGAAACTTCCCGAGGGTCAACAGCATCTCCCACCCCCTCTTCGGCTTCTCACCGCCAAGGCTGTCTCACAGCCCGGCTGCTGGAAGCAGCGGGAGGCCTCTGGTGCCTGGGGCCGCGTCTCCTTCCTTTTGCTGCCAGGGAGCTGAGGTGGCCGTGCCAGCGACAGAGACCAAAGCCCTTGTTTTAGGCCAGGCACCGGGAGGGTAGGCAGGCCAAAGGGGGTGACCGAAGAGGGAGCCTATGTTGTTCGGGAGAGCGAGGGTATTCGGGACCAGTGGTCTGGTGCGCTGTGGAGGCAGCCCCACTGGCCAGCCCTGGCTACTGCCCAGTCTCCGTTTGGCCTGAGTGGCATGTCCCTGCGCGTGGCTCAAGGTGGCTTCCTGGTGTGTGCAGCCACAGGGGTTTCAGCTCAGAACATGAGGCAGGGGGAGGCAGAAAGCAAATGCAGTTAGGTGACAAACACCTGTGTCCTAAGTGTGGGAGGACACTTTCTTCCAAATCTCCCTGCCAGGGGCTGCGGCATGTCCCCGTTCCTCTCCACCCCAGGATAGAATGAGGGCCCTCGCAGGGTTTGAGGGGCTGGCACTCCTGGACCCCCCCCACCCTGCCCTTTCTGTTGGCTCTGTGGCCATCCAAGTGCCAATTGGCTTCCCCCCAAATAAGGGCTGGTATTTCTCCTCTTCCCCAGAGGTGATTTCCCCCTGACCCCTCACCCCAGGTGCAACCACCTGGGGGCCCGTTACAGGTGTTTCCAGAGACCATAGAAATGTGTTTTCCTGAGAGTCCGTGTCATTTGTGACTTTTTTTGTAAAGAAGTTGTGTTTTCAGAGGTGATTTTATGACAGGAAAGTGAAAGAATTAGTTTTGCAAAAAAAAAAAAAACAAAAAAAGAGAAAAAAAGAAAAAAGAAATAGAAAAAAATATTGTGGGATTCCTATGGGGTTAGGGGAGGGGGGAGAAAGAAATATTTAAAGAAAAACTAGTGACGCAGTGATTGCACAGGTGAGGTGGCAATGTTAGGATGGAGATGGAGACCCAGGCCCGACCGGCAGGTCCCCGGGGTCATGGGTGCCTGGGGTCGTGGCCGACTGCCCTTCCTCAGCCCGAGGCAGGGTGGGCCCTCCCTCCTGTCCCGGGCCCAGACTCTGCACCCGTCCTTGCTCAAAGGGAACGATGACAGCTGGTCCCAAGGGAGCTATCCTGAAGCTGCAGGGGCCAGGCAAATGGAGATGAGATTTGGGGAGGTGGGGGTCAGCAGGGGTGGCGCTGTCGGCGGGACCCATCGTTGGTGACTTTCTGCAGAAAGACTGGTGAGTAAGTACAGTTGGGTTTCTTGCTCTCCTTCTTTCCTTTGGCAGCTTGTTGGGCCATCTGGTCCCTACCACCGCCACCCATAGAGGGCATCTCCCTCCGTGTCACCCCAAAGACCATGACACCACTGAGCCTCACTGGCCAGGTGGAGGATGCAGGCTTCAGAAAGACAGGAGCTGTGGACCCTGGGAGAATCTTAGGTGGCGATGCTGAGGGATTAGGGGGACCGTGGGGAGAAGGGAGCGCCTGCCCTTCTCTCTCTAGAGGCGTGCTGCCGCTCCACCCCATCCTGCCTGGGCTTGAGCAGAGGCACACAGCCACAGCGCTCTGGGTGGGCAGCTCCCCTGGGGGCTGAGAGGACCAGGGGTCCGGTGCAAGCAGAGCCCTCCTTACCTCTCCCAGGGTGGCTCTGGCGGGGGCCCACAAGCCCGCCCACACTCTTGCACACATCAGCCTCCCATGGGCCCTTCCTCCCCCCTTGCTGCTTCTCCATTTGCCTAATTACCAAGCAGAAGTTATAGTCTGGTTTGCTTTATTTTTATATGTGAAATACCCCCAAAGTCTGACCTCCCATGTTCAATATTGACTGGGGCATCGGTCATCTCCCCTTAATGCCCCCCCACCTTTGTGTCATAGGAAACAGGCGAGGTCTGGTTTGAGATGGGAAATTGGGACCCACCCCTGTCTGATTCCCCTTTCTGACCCTCAGTGTGCCCTTCTGTGAAATGGGTGGATGGGTGGCGAGGCCTCTTCATAAAGCACTGCTGGTGTCCAGGCAGCTGCTGAGGATTAGGTGGTGGGCGAGGTTCCTGGTGCGGGGCCTCCTGCCTCCCACAGCCCCCCATCATTCTCACCCTGCCAGAGGGTCAGGGTTGAAATGAGCTCCATCCTTTGCTCTGGAAAGAGGTGATGATCAAGTCCCTGACCTCAGTGTGAGGTGAGTGGAGTGGGAGGGAAGTTGGAGCTCTGAGAGGCAAAGCTGCTTCACTGGGGTGAAGGACCCAGCTGCTCTGGCCTTTGGGGGATAAAAAACCTTCAAAAGGCAGGGGCCCAGGCCCTGGAGCCACCACTAAGCTGGCGGGCTACCCTGGAGCCAGGCAGTCCTGGGTGAGGGGTCAGCCCAGAGGAGGGGGTCTGGGCTGCCACCAGCCTCTGTAGCCTTTGGGGACCCAAGTGGACGCACCACCTTTCCCTCCTCATTGGGTTTTGTTGGGTTTTTTGGGGTTTTTTTTGCACTTGGCCCACGCCTGACAGTGGAGCCCGCCCAGTCAGTTTCACTTCGGGGCTCCCATGCACTAGCCCAAGGCAGCCTCTTGGGGGCTTGTGTGGTTTAAGGAATCACTTAAAAAAGAAAAAAAAAAGGAAAGTGTTTAAAGGTGTTTTTTTCCCCTCTATCTGCATCTCCTGTCTGATTCAGAAAGCTCAGAATTAGGGGCTAAAACTCCAGCAGAGGGTCTCCCCAGCCTGACCCCATCTTGCTGACAGTCACCAAGATGCCGAAATAGGGGGACAGGCTGGGGAGGGACTGAGGACCCCACCTCCCAGGCCTTGTGGGGTCCCCTTCATCCTTGAAGGAGTCAGCACCCCACTCCAACAGTGAGTGAGTGCCTACTGTATACAGAGCTGCAGCTAGGCAAAGAGGGGGCTGATAGTCTAACAGGGGCGCCCCTAGCAAGAGGCCAAAGCAGAAGGAGCAAAGAGCTCGGAGGCCTGCCCCTGCCGTTGGGCTGAGTGCAGATGGAGACTTCTTTTTGTTGATTTTAATTTAAAAACACAAAAGGCCTAAAGAAATGTATCTTATAATTTTTTTAATTTTTGAAAAGCTCATTTAATGAATTGTGCACGAATGAATTCTATATATATAAAATATACGTATATAGCTCTATATTTGGGGAGGGGCTGTGTCTCTTTTTTCTCTTTCTCATTTTAAAAATGAAGTGCTGTTGTTGCCTTTGTCTGTGGTTCAACCATCCAGCGCCCAGCTGGCTAAACTTTGCCTCGGTGGTTAAAGATAGGAGACTTATGGCATTGGCGGAAGACCAGAGATGGAGATGGCGCCCCGGCGTGGGGCCCCATGCATCTGCCCCGCTCCCAGAGGTTGCTGGTGGAGAAGACGGCTTGTTTCGGGTGTGGGTTTTGGTTCTGTTGTTCTGGATTCAGTTGTTTCTGGGCCGGGGGAGGGGGGGGTATGTGCCGGTTACTCTCGTCTTGTACGTTTTGTTCTGCTGCTCTTCAATATTGTATCAATGCCAGGAAGGGGGAGTGAAAGGCCTTTTTTGCCCCCCCAAATAAATTGTCACATTCCGAAGCTGAGGTCCAGCCCCTCGGGTGGGGGTGCGTCTGTCTCATTTCTTCCCGCTGTGACTGCGGTCCTTAAAAAGCATCAGGCCAGGCCCCCCTACTGTGGAGGAGGGGGAGGGGCCCTGCCCCCCAGCGGTGGCAGACCAGCGCTCCAGTCAATTCCCAGCCCCCTGCCCCTGTCCATCCACCTCACAGCCTGTAAGTGAGCTGAGCTAGAGGTGACTCCCTTACGTGGGTGAAGCCGAGGGGCTTGGTACTTGGACCCTGGAGAATACCTAGTTGGTGGGCACGTGGGAGGGCTGGGGGTGCCCACTCCCCAGTTGGAATCTCAGCACCCGCCGGGGGAGCAGGGGGGCTGGATCCCTAACAAGCTTGTCACCCCAGGGCCGGGGAGAGAGCAGGCTGCTCTTGCCAGCGGTTCCACAATCTGGCGCAAAGCTAACAAGGAGCTGCTTCCCGCTGCAGAGGGATGTTTGTTTCGGGACGCTGTGTACCTTCTCTGATCAGCCCAGCAGCCTCCAGGAGCCCTCCCCCCATGTCAGACGCCCACCAGGGTGCAAAAGCAGCCCCAGGGGCACTCCCGGACCTTCCTCAGTGGCTGGCCCCTCTGCTTGTAACCTGCACCTTGGTACATCACGGCCACCTGTTTGCCAGCTTCTAACAGGTGTCACCCTTGAATCTTTCCCTTCCTCCTCGCCCCAACCCCCTCCTCCTGAAACTCCCCGTGTCTCGCCTCGCAGATGTCTCCCCAACCTGCCCCCTGCACCCCCTTGTTCTTTGGCAAAGCCTCCGTGCCTGCCGGGCTCCCTTCTTGCCTGCACCCGCCACCTCTTCCACATGGTGCACGGGGGTCTGGCAGCCCTGACTCAAGCCTTTGGGGAGCCCATGCCCTCGGGATCATGGCCCAAGTCCTCAGCCTGGCAGTCTGCCGGGGGTGACCTCCCCCGCCACCCCCATGCATTCTCTCCAAGTGTCCACACTGCCTGTGGCGCCCTCCCCTGCACTTGTCCTTCCCTGTCCCTTAGGGAGGGGCTGTGTCTTCATCCCCACTCTCTGTACTCACAGTTTGCAGCTCAGTGCCTGACATCCATCTTGTCTCTAATTGTCACCAAGCTTAGTCCTCTTCCTTACTAATAGGGCAGCAGCTGAGCAGCAAACCTGGGGCCCCAGTGCAATTCATCCAACTGTCTCTGAGCTCTGGCCCTCGTCTGTGGCACCTACACCACGTCACCCCTACCTTGTCTCCACCTTGTCACCTCGCACGGGTCGGTGTTCTGTCCTCCAAAAGTTGTCATTCAGTACTTATTTAAAAAAAAATGCCATGGGTTGTCAGCACATCTACTACAGGTCAAGCACTGGTGAACATTTTACTCGTCCCCCATCACCCCCTCACCCCCACCAGTGCCCAGGGAGGCCTTGAGTGACGAGCCAGTGTCCTGGCGGGAGGGTCTGAGAGTTGACGTAACCCCTTAGTTCATCTGCTGGAGGTGGCACAGCTGTCGGCAGGAGAGTGGGGCTTCCGTCCAGGCACATCTCTTTGTCCCCAAGCCCCATGCTGTCTGGCATTGCAGACACCGGGCTGCCCCTGTGAGGCAGGTGTGTTCAGAGATTAGAGTCACCACTGTCCTTTATCACAGGGCGTGGCGTTGCTGAGCAGCTACTTGTGGGTGAATGAGCGTGACCACGGCAGCTTCTCAAGGAGGATCCAAGGGTTTGTGATGAGGGCCGGGCGAGACCACACATCTCCACTCAGAGAGCCCGATGCCCCGTCCAAGATGAGTCAGTATGGAGGACACGTGGCCACTGCTAGTGCTACGGGGTTCGTCTGCCAGGTGGTGCCTGACCCAGGCCCCAGCCTTTACCTCCCCCTATTCCTGGGCCCGACTGGGGTCCGGGTCAGCCAGGGGTGATGCTCAGGATCGGGGCAAGGTAGAGAGTGGGGTTTGGGATGGGGTAAGAATGACAACTTTGCACAATTACTTGGTCGTTTTTAGAAGCCAAAAATGTAATGGGTTTTCTGTCTTCATCAAGCTGTGCCTGAAGTGAAGAGGGGGTCAGAGTGGCTGCATTCAAATGCTGAGCCCCCCTCAAGCCAGATCACAGGTCCTGTGCCCATTCTGTACCCTCTTTGTTCAGGCTGCTGGCTTCTGAGAGTTCACACTTCAAAAAGACCCCTGGCCCAGAGAGGCGAACACAGGATGCCTGATCCACAGCAGTGGGGCCTGGCCTGCAGCCATCCATGCGCTCTGAGCATCTGAGAGTCAGAGGAGGAACAAAGGCTGCTGACTTGAAATAACCCTGCGGTGCGATAATGAGGCCTAGATGCAGGCTGAGGCTTTGGGGGCGACAGGAAGAGGCCAGAGTCAAGAGAGAATATCGAGGATTTGGTGGTGGTTTTGAGCGCTTGTGAGAGGGACCCTCTGAGAACCTCCTGGGAATCGGTGTGGGCAAGGGAGTGAGTGCTGGCGCCACTCACGGGCTGGGAACCCGGCAGAGGAGGCAGCATGGGAGGAAGTGAATTCGGTTTAGGATCCCTTGGGTGTGAATCAGGCAGAGGGTCCAGGAGGGATTTTCATCCATAGATTTGAGGCTCAGGGCGAGTTCCTGCCCACCCGGGCACTGCTGGAGAAATCTGTCCCTTTGTTGAAGAGTCTTTGTCTCCGGGTGTACCTCAGCTCTGCAATGACTGGTCAGCAGACCTCCTGGAAGGACCACCAGCGACTTCAGTGCTTAGCTCCAAAGGCCCCGGGGATATCCAGCCCCTGCCTGCCACACCACCCTCCCAGTCTCCTGTGTTTCATCTGGGTGAGGAGGTGAGGCAGGTGGCTGGGGGACCATGAGCCCCATCAGACAGGTGAGGAGGTGGGGCAGGGTGGGGCTTCCTGGGTCACTCAGAGGCAGAAGGGGTGGAACCCAGGTCTCGGGCACAGTGGATGGAACCTTCTGAAGACCTGCGGCTACACAATACTGAGAGATCCTAGATAAAATATAACAGACATGCTTTTACCTACCCAGCTGAGCTTCCAAGATAGTACAGAAATCCCCAGGGACCAAAAACAAAAAGCAAGCCAAAGTCGGAGTGACAAACAGATGCTGATCCTTTGAAAACAGGGCCTATGCAGGCTGCCCTGCAGGGCGGGCACAGGGACAGTGCTGGCCTTTGCTGATCCTAGAAACCGAGGGGCTTGGCTTTTACATCTATCTAGGGAGGGAACGCGGCCTTGTGCCCTGCCAAAAGAGATCTGGAACCAAGACACCTGAATAAGGCTAGACCCGTATCCTCAATGAAAGAGCAACGGGGAGAAAAATCACCCTTTTGCAAAAAGAAGTTGTCAAAGAAGTCATCTCATTTTTGGCTCTGTTGGAAAAATTGAAATGAAGTCTCTCTTGAGAGATTGTAACCCTAGACCTTCCCTAACACAAATTTGAAGTTTGAATTTGCATTGCTGACATAGTCCCATTACTCCCAAGTCTGGAAATCAATATAAAAAGCAAACGTGGGGTGGGTTACACCCACAGAGCTTGTGGTACGCACACACAGTAGCAAATGCAAGCCTGTCTGCGGGGCATTCTCACAAGAAAGGCCGCACAAGATACTCACAGATAAAACCTTTGTTAACATGAGCTCACAATCCAAAATTATGAAACACGCAAATAAGCCACAAAGACGAACAGCAGAATGACAAACAGCATACATAGAATCCTGCACCTGATAGATTATATTCAAGCACACATTGAAGATGCCTAAAAATTGTCATGTACATCGTATGGTAGGACATAAAGCAAGTCCCAATAAATTTCAAAAAGTTGGCATCACAGATTATGTATAATTAAGTTAAAAATCAATAGCAGGAAGATAACTAAAAAACAAAACCTCATATATTTGAACAGTAACCCAGATCTCTCATTCTCCTGCATCTTGCTCTCTCCTCAAACTCCTGAAATCTCTTTAGAACAATCACATCTGAGATGGATGTGAAAATGCTAATAGATGGCAGACACCCAGGAGGGGCACGGCCAACCTGAGCTGAAGCCGGACGGAACAGGTCCCCCTCGGGTCCCTCTAGACGGGATGTGACCTTCATTAGAGCAAAAGACCAAAGTCTTTTCTGTCTTTTCCAAAAGATGAGCTCAGAGTGTGACAAAGACATGAGCCTCCACTTAAATTGCTGCCAGCAATCAGCCTTTATGAGCCTGAAGGTCTGGGAACCACCCATGGGGACCATGGCAGGCTGATGGAAATAGGACAAAGCGGGAGGCAGGAGTTCTCGGTGCTGTGACATAAAGACAATCGCCCTGCCAGCCTTCTCCTGCCCACCTTGCCTCATGGTCTGAAATCCCAGCACAAGCCACATGCGGTTTTGGCATGGATTTGAAGGTCCCTAGGAGTTCTCGGTTAAGGCTCAGATGCTCCCATCTGTGAGCAAGGAAGCAGGACACACTTTGGAAAAGGCGAATGTGGACTCTGTCCCCCAGGGGGGCTCATTAAAGTGATGGTTACCTCTCAGGGTCTTTGGCAATCCCTGTGGGCGCTGGCTCGGCTTCCGTGCAGTAGTATCCTAGTGGAGGCTTGCTGCTCCCATCATCCCTGACCCCTCCCCGGGCGCTCATCCGCCTGCCTCCCACAGCTCCAGCACCATAAAGGGACCCTTGTCTGGTCCAAGTGGCCAGGTCACTTCCCCTCTCGAGGCCTCGGTGCTCCTCCATGGTAAACGAAGCCAGGACTCCCTCTTTGGTGGGTTTTTTTGGGAGGACTGAAGGAGGTGACAGATGTAAAAGGGTTTTGTTCAAGCACCACAGGGGGAAGAAGAGACATCTTCCAGATCTATGTATCCAGACTTGGCCACTTCTCTGACATCCGGTCTGGTGTTCCAGCTGTCTGCTCACCACTTCTTGATGCCCTCCTCCCATGTAACAGCTTGAGGAAAGTTGAAAAACAGTGGACAAGCCCAGCTCTGCCAGCTGTGTGATCTCCGGCTGGTCAATCATCCTCTCTGGGCTTCTGTATCCTC